AAAAAAAAAAAAAAAGTCAAGGTCATGAAAAACAAGGAAAGACAGGGTAAGTGCCACAGATCAGAGGAGACATGACAGTCAGGACACCCAAACCCAGAATTTGCATCCTGTATTGAATCCTAGAACAACGCTGCAAAGGTCATTAGTGGAAAAATAGATGAAATCTAAACAAGGCCTGGAGTCTCGCTGATGTTATGGTAACAGTTACTCCTTAGTTCTGGCAAAGGTACCATGGTTAGGTAAGGTGTTAACCATAGAAGAACCTGTGGAAGGACATATGGAAATTCTCCAGACTATCTTTGTAATTTTTCTCCAAATCTAAAATTATTGCAAAATATTAAAAAAAAAAAAAGTAGACTCATTCTTCCTCAGAGCAGAAGTTCCCAATCCTGGGCATCCTTGGGAAAACTGGCATTCATGGCCTGGTAGTCGCACCCTCTCTTTGAACATTCTGGAATACAGCGGGCCTTTTGCATTTTTGATCATCCATCATTCTCTTTCCCAACCCTGACCTTATTCTAAAATAGCTCTGTATTTGCCTCTCTTTATGGCATTTCTCATAGATGATTTTTGTTGTTGTTGTTGTTCAATGAGTTTTGTGGGAGTTGTTTTTTGTATTTTTTGTTTGTTTTTCAGAGATAGGGTTTTGCTCTGTTGCCCAGGCTGGAGTACAGTGGCAAGAGACCATAGGTCACTGCAGCACCGACCTCCTGGGCTCAAGCGATCCTCCCACCTCAGCCTCCTGAGTAGCTGGGATCACAGGTATGCCGCTGTGCCTGGCTAATTTTTAAATCTTAGTTTTTTGAAGAGATAGGTCTTGCTTTGTTGCCTAGGCTGGTCTCCAACCCATGGCTTCAAGCCATCCTCCCACCATGGCCTCCACAGTGCTGGAATTGCAGGCATGAGCCACTGCCACTGGGCCAGCATGCATTTTTGAGCCTTTGCTCTGTGTCAGGGGCTGCAGGACTGTCTGCCCAGCCAAGCTCACTGCACTGGTGTAGGCTCCTGGTACCCCAAGCACAGGCGCAGCTACCCAGACCTGACTCCTCTCCAGGAAGGAAGCAGAAGGCCAACAATGGAGGGAGTGAGGACCCGGGCCTCTGGGGGAGTACGGCCTTCCAGCCAGATGGAATCTGCTGTCCTCTGGGCTCAACCAGCCCCACAGAATCCAGCCGGTCAAGCAGCTGTGAGCTGGGCTGGACAGCCCTTCCTTGAGAGTAAACTGTGGCCTCCAGGACGTAGGGCAGGGACTCAAAGGGCCAGCTCCTGTTTGAGGACTCTGATCTTGTGTGCCCACCTGTGGCTTGGGGTCTGAAGCCTTGCGGACTGCCCACTAGCGGCCAGCATCCTTGCTTGAAGGGGTCATGTGTGTGGAGCGGTAGCAGCCAGGCAGAGTAACCTGGCCCTGCTTGCAGGCCCAGCAGAGCAGGTGAGCCCTGCTCAAAGGTGACGCCACACCTGATGAGAGAAAAACTTCCGAAGCAGGGGAGAAGGAAGAAAGAGTGATAAAGCTGCAGGAAGACAGCATGTAGAGGGAAATCTCAAGATACTTAGATGGAAATAAATCACACAGCTCTTACAGGAAAATCACAGCTAAAAGGTGGTGATTACACATGGGCCTGAAGTGCCTTTCCTGTCACATCTGCTACCTCACTGCCAGCCTGTATGCAGTGGTGACAGCAGCCCTCACATTTCTGGAATGTTCCGTGACATGCTCCTGCTTTTTTCAGTCCCCTCCCCACCTTCCCATGTAGGCAACTCTCAATTGCTCTGACGTCCTGGGTGAGTGTGGATGTCTCTTCCCAGTCATGGTGCCCAAGCCCATTTGTGTGTCCCTAGCAACCACCAGCACATGCCCGGGGCTCTTGTCTGAGGCCTGCCAGGCTCTCTGGACCAGAGCTCCTTGAGGACAGGGACAGGCCCTATGTGTGCCTTTAGGCCCCAGCACCCAGCAGCACAGTGCCTGGCCTACCAGGGGTATCTGGTAAAGTGGTTCTTGAGTGAAAGACACAAGGGCAAAACCTTGAATGAAAATTCAGGTTAAGACATGAGGATGAGAGCTTGAAAGAGGAAAAGCAAAGGTAATTAAATAACCTTCCCTACCCATGGTGCCCTCCAGTGCCGTCAGCGTGCTGGGGTTTTGACAGGGCCCTTGGAAGAAAGAGAAGAGGCATCTGAGCCCTCTGGCACATTCCACTTCCTGCAAGGCAATGTGGCATAGAGGAAAGCGTTAGGGCTTCCTTTCAGCCAGGTCTGTCTGACTGTGCACCCACCAGCTGGGTGTGGGAAATGGGAGCAGTGGCACCCACCCCCAAGCACAGATGTGAGAACTGAACAGAACTACGGGATGGGGGTCCCAAGCCTAAGACATAGAGGAGGCTCCTCCTCGTCCACTGTGGAGCTTGTGGGTGCCCCTTCATCAAAGCACTGGTGCTTCCCACATTGCATTCAAGGAAGTTCTCTCGCGTGCCTTCTCATCACCGGTCTCTACTGGCCTCTTTGCACACTTTGGTACCTAGGACGTTGAGCCTGGACCAGTGGGGGGCAAACAAGACGCCTGGGATGCAAAACATAAGGAGTCTCCCACGCTCAGGTGGTTCAAGTGCAGGGA